AAGGGGCTGGTCAGCTAGGGGGCAGTTTGGGGAGGCTGGGAGGGGATTTAGGGCAGCTGGAAGGAGATATAGAGGGGTTTGGGGGGCTAAGGGGTGGTTTGGAGGGTGGGAGGGCTCGGGTGGTTTTGGGGTTCTGTGGGGTTTTGGGGGTCCCCCAGACTCTGATTCTCCCCTGTTCCCCCCAGGCCCAGGTTTTTGCTGCTGACGGAGCTGCTGCAGAGACGCCACCCTCGGGAACCCCCCAGGGAGAAGGTGACACTGTCCCCTCGAGTCCCCTCGAGTCCCCTGGTGTCTGTGCCATGTCCCTGTGCCCCGTGCTGTCCCCTCCTTACCCGTGTGTCCTGATATCCCCCCCGTGTCCCCGTAACCCCGATATTCCCGAGCCCCCCCAACATCTCTGTATCCCCACACATCCTGTTGTCCCCTCTGTGTCCCCAAGGTCCCCCAGCCCATCCAGTCCCTGAGCCCCTCCTGTCCCTGCGTTCCGCACTGTCCCCTCCATGTCCCTGAGCCCCCTGAGGTCCCCACGCTCCTCCAGTCCCTGAGTCCCCACTGTCCCCTCCATGTCCCCAAGGTCCTTGAAGTCCCCTCTGTGTCTTTAAGACTTTCTCCATCCCTCCATCCCTCTGCACCCCCTAATATGGTGCCCCTCTGTGACCCCCTGCTTCCCCATGTTCCCTGCCTGTCCCCTGACTCTGTCTGCCCTGGCCGCCTACCACGCCCCTGATGAGGGTACGGGGGGCTCAGGGGGCTTGGGGGGGGCAGAGGGAGGAGTGGGGTGCATGTGGAACTGGATTTGGGGTGTCCTGTGTAATGCCCTGAGTGCCCACCACATCCCTGATGAGGGTACAGGGTGCTCAGGGTGGGCAGAAGGAGGAGTGGGGTGCACGTGGAACTGGATTTGGGTGCCCACCTGGGTGTCCTGGGTGCCCACCACATCCCTGATGGGGGTACAGGGGGCTCAGGGTGGGCAGAGGGAGGAATGGGGTGCACGTGGAACTGGATTTGAAGTCCCCTCTGTGTCTTTAAGACTTTCTCCATCCCTCCATCCCTCTGCACCCCCTAATATGGTGCCCCTCTGTGACCCCCTGCTTCCCCATGTTCCCTGCCTGTCCCCTGACTCTGTCCCTCTGTCCTGACGCTGTCCCCGTGTCCCCACAGCATCCAGCCCCGAGGAGGGCCGCGAGGGCCGCAAGGAGAAGGAGGGGGAGCGTGGGGAGGAGCGGGGCCGGGCGCGGGGCTCCAAGCCCCTGATGCCCACCTCGACCATCCTGCGGCTGCTGGCCGAGCTGGTGCGCTCCTACGTGGGCATCGCCGCCCTGATCGCCAACTACAGCTACAGTGTGGGCCAGTCCGAGCTCATCAAGGAGGTGACACCGCGGGGACAGGCCACCAGAGGGGGCTGGGGACAGGGACAGCCCTGTGTCTGACAGGGTGTGCCAGGAGGGGCAGTTCGAGCTCAACAAGGAGGTGACACCGTTTGGACAAGCCACCAAAGGGGCAGGGGACAGGGACAGAGCAGCCGTGTCCCTGTCAGGGTGTGCACAGCGGGGTTCTGTCACTCCCCTGTGCTTTGGGGTCTGCTGTCACCTCAGGGAGAGGTGTTACTTGTCACCCCTTGTCCGAGCTCAACAAGGAGGTGACACCGTGGAGACAAGCCACCAAAGGGGCAGGGGACAGGGACAGAGCAGCCGTGTCCCTGTCAGGGTGTGCACAGCGGGGTTCTGTCACTCCCCTGTGCTTTGGGGTCTGCTGTCACCTCAGGGAGAGGTGTTACTTGTCACCCCTTGTAGAAGGGTGCCTTGTCACCTTGATTTTTAGGGTTCCTTGTTCCCTTGTCCCCATACCTTGGGGTCCCCTGTCACCTCATTGAGCAGGTCCCCTGTCCCCCCACGGGATCCCCTGTCCCCTTACCCTGAAGGTCCTCCAGGTTCCCTCTGTCCCCTGGCTGTGGTCAGAGCGTGTGACCCCTGTGTCCCCCCAGGACTGCAGCGTGCTGGCCTTTGTCCTGGACCACCTGCTGCCCCACCAGCAGAACGCCGAGGACAAGGACACGCCGGCGCTGGCGCGGCTCTTCCTGGCCAGCCTGGCCGCGGCCGGCAGCGGCACCGATGCCCAGGTGGCCCTGGTCAACGAGGTCAAGGCCGCCCTCGGCCGCGCCCTGGCCATGGCTGAGAGCACCGAGAAACACGCCAGGTCTGGGGACAGCTGGGGACAACGTGGGGACAATGTGGGGGAAGCGTGGGGCAGCGTGGGGACAGCATGGGGATGGTGTGGGGGCAGCTGGGGACAATGTCGGCCACTGCAGAGACAGCCAGGGGACAACATGAGGATGATGTGGGGACAATGTGGGGCCACTGCAGAAATGGCTTGGGGACAATATCAGACAACACGGGAACAGCATGGGGACAATGGGCAGTCACTACAGAGAGCCTGGGGACAGTGTGGGGACAACATGGGGCCACTGCAGAGACAGCCTCGAGGTGTCTGGAGTCTCTCATCCTCTGTCCCACACATGACTGGTGTCCTCTGTCCCCCTGGAATGACCCATGTCCCCTAGAGTGACCGCTGTCCCCCAGCGTGACCGGTGTCTCTCATTCTCTGTCCCACACATGACTGGTGTCCTCTGTCCCCCTGAAGTGATGTGTGTCCCCTCAAGTGACCGCTGTCCTCCCAAGTGACCAGTGTCTCTCATCCTTTATCCTCCCACTACCTCACTGGTGACCCTGTCCCCCTGGAATGACCGCTGTCCCCCCGAGTGACCGCTGTGCTGTCCCTGCAGGCTCCAGGCCGTCATGTGCATCATCAGCACCATCATGGAGTCGTGTCCGTCCACCTCGAGCTTCTACAGCAGCGCGGCCAAGCCGCCCCACAACGGCATGAACAACATCATCCGCCTGTTCCTCAAGAAGGGGCTGGTCAACGACCTGGCCCGTGTGCCCCACAGCCTCGACCTGTCCAGGTGAGGGTCTGGGGGCTGAGGTGGTGTCCTCAGGGGTTTGGGGGGTGCTGAGGGGGTTTGGGGGAGTCTGGAGGGGTTTTCAGGGCTCTTTGGGGGAACTTGGTTGGGATCTTGAGGAGTTTTCAGGGGTCTTGAGGGGGTTTGGGGGAGCTTCGTTGGGGTTTTGCGGGGGTTTTGAGGAGTTTTCAGGGGGTTTGGTGGGGTGTTGAGTAGTTTCCAGGGGTCTTTGTGGGAGCTTCATTAGGGTTTTGAGGAGTTTTGGGGGATGTTGAGGAGTTTTCAGGGGTCCTGGGGGGCTTCAGTGGGGTCTTGAAGGAAGGCCATTATGGGTTTGGGGAGCCCTGGTGGGTTTCAGGGGTCCTTACTGGGTTCAGGGTCACTGTTGGGTTTGGGAGTCTCTGCTGGGTTTCAGGGGTCCCTGCTGGTTTTGGGGGGGTCCCTGCTGGGCTGGGGGTCCATGCCAGTTGGGGTGCCAGCGCTGTCCCCCCAGCCCCAACATGGCCAACACGGTGAACGCGGCGCTGAAGCCGCTGGAGACGCTGTCGCGCATCGTGAACCAGCCCAGCGGGCTCTTCGGGGCCAAGGGCTCCTCCAGCAAGAGCAAGGCCGAGGGCAACGGGGGCGCCCGCGAGGCGGGGTCTGCACCCCCCGATGGAGGTACCCCCAGGACCCCCGGGTCACCCCATAACCCCCCTGCCCCCAAGGGGGACCCTCCTGTCCCCCCCACAACCCTGCCCATCCTGTGCCCCCCTCCAGCCCCGTGACACCCCTGTCCCCACCAGAGAACCCCCTGCTCCCCCAGGGGACCATCCTGTCATCCCAACACTGTGACCCCCAAGGGGACCCTCCTGTCCCCCCCATACCCCAGGGGTATCCCCATTCCTCCTCAGAGACCCCCCCTGTTCCCCCACACCCTGTGAACCCCCAGGGTTCCCCC